GGGGGTATTAACACCCCCTATTTTATAATTAGCACCCTCAAATAATGTTCGTATTTATGAATCAAAAACTTATTTTTGTCATCAGACATTTGACTATTAGAGTATAAAACTGTAATGAAATATAAATGAAAACGATGTTACTCCACAAACGTCAATTCACATTTTGTTGAGTTCACTGAAACCTTAATTTAAATTAATTTTAAAACCGGAACCCCATTTCAATCTTTATTTGTATTTATTTAAAAATCGGCTCATTAAATCCTTATAGTTTTAATATAAATTAAATATCCAATAAATACAGAGCTTAAGCACCCTCAGTTTTTTTATTGAAATTGCGCATATGATTGTCAATATCTAAACTATTTTAGTTAAAACCACATGCATTTGACTTAAGATTATCTTTATTCGGGTTCTGAAATCATTAGGAAATCCAAAACTCAGCTTTCAAACATCAAAATACAGATCTTGAAATACGAATCATTAAAAATATTTAATATGTAGTTAATCAAATTACATTTCTAAGTGGTATAACTAGTTTTTTACCATTTAGCTATAGTAAAACAACAACTATAATATCAAGGTTTTTAATAAACATAAATATTAGAAAGGATAATAATAGAAACAACACAATAAATATATTATAATAATTATAATTTATCAGAAGCCAAGTTAATATTACATTATAGACATGTACAAATAAAAAAATAATTTATACATAAGAATATATATAATGTTTATAGAGATTTATAACTGTGAATAAAATAATTTTATCTATACAACAAACATGTTCAACTGCTAATAATATAACAAAATTTTTTATTAACCCAATAAAATATATACTCCCATTGATAAGATTTAAATACGTATAAACTTAAGAAGTATGCAAAGTATCCCATACCTGGTTATTTTCTAATACATAAATGGCCTAGTTATCAATTTATAATGTAACTAATAATTACTTTGTCAAAAAAGAATGATTAATAATTAGACATGTTTGATAAATGAAATTCACATAATTATTGTAGAAAAAAAAATTGGAAACATTTTTCATCATTTTATGTTCTATAATCTATACTTAACACTACAATTTTATGTTTAACGGAGATCATTTTATACAAAATTTTTAAAAATGTTGGTAATTACAATAGAATAGTAATACATAGAAACTGGCACAATCGAAAAAATCTAACTTGAGTATTTTACATACATACAAAATACTCTATTAGTATATAGAGTATACACTATAAATGTTTTATGCAATTTATTAATTAATTAATTAATTCTTATTTTTTTTTTTTATTACACACATATATATATATACATACATAATATATATATATATATATTTAGACATAATAAAACTTCTTAAGAAACTATACAAAATAATTTTATTATTATCAACTAAATAAGACTAGAATACAAAAGGATAATGTAATTTGATATAAAAAGTCAATATTAAAAGACTGCATTATTATGAAAAAATGGCTAGTAAAAAAAAAGTTATATTAGCAATCATAGTACCGGATTTTTTAAAAAAATATATATATATATATATATATAACATATACAGTTTTACAAATTAATATTACATATAAATTTAAATAGTTTCAAAATGGTCATATTTTTTTAAACTATGAAATGTAGAGTAATTTATAATTTTAATTAGAGGAACACCATATTTAATTCAACACTGTTGACTTTAAATTTTACACATTTTTCAAAAGATAATCAGTAAATTACATTAGTGTCAAACTTACTGTAAAATATCTGATTCAAAAAAATTTTCAGAATTTACTAAAAACTGTACTAAATATTTTTTAAATATATATTGCACATTTAAATTATCAGGTCATCAAGACAGTACTGATCAATCAAAAACATTTTTTAACACTAGAAAAATTTAAAATAACTGAATTTGATTATCCACTGAAAGGACAATTACAAATTAAAATTTACAAAAATCTTACTATAGGAAGTGGCAGTACTTGATTATTTATAGCTGCACGAGGGTTTGCAGTCTTCAGCTGTAACAGGATATTTTTTACCACTCCACGGTGGAGTTAATAAATTAGAAGGAGTTACTGGACCCTTGACCCTGGCCAATTGAATAAGTTCAAATCTGCTTTGTGCTAAATCCTAAAATATATAAATAAAATAAGTAATGTTTTGGCATAGAGGACAATAGTATAAATCAATCAATGATCTGCAGCATATAAATTTTAATTTATACTTATTATTTTGACAAAGAAATTTACCTTACTTACATCTGATCGCAAAAATATAACATAAATACATATAAGAATATTTTAATATTGTCTTAAAAATAAGAACATTACAATATAAGATACTTACATACATATCCATACTGACTAAATGTTGCTGTTTAACATGGGTGCCATCTACTTGTTCCGAATCATTTTCAAAATCAATTTCTTCATATTGATATTCTTCTATAATTACACTCCAGTAAACAGACATCCACTCAACACAATTACATACATTTCCTTCTGATAAACCTGTAAAAAAACATGATTTTATCAAAACTAATAAATTAATATAAAGTACTTTTTATCAATAACTTACCAGAAATGGTTAATGCAATATTTTTATTGAGGACTATAGTAAGGGCAGATGCTGCGAGTTCACTATATGAGTAGCGTAAACAGTTGGAATCCAAACAAGCTAAATCTAAAAGATGAGCTACTTGATTGAATAAATTCTGAGGAAATTGTGGGGTAATAAGACTATCTTCAGCAGTGCTATCATCAACACAAATGAATTGCAACATCAGTTCCACCCAATAATTAATAGAAACAGGTGTTAAACGGAATCGCAAATGCTAAACAAAGAAAAATTAAAAAAATTAATAATAAATTGGTTGATTTTAATTAATTCCATAACTATATATAAATTTAAATTACCATCAATAAGATTTTTTCCATGTCTAATAAATCAGCATCAGTACACGCTCCATCAGTAACATATGCAAACTCAGTTAATTTAGGAGGGTATATTTCCTCCATTTTGGCGGCCATAAATAGACATGTGATTCCTAAATATACACAAAATAATTTAATATTAAATTAACTCACTTTTATATAGCATAAAAAAAAATTAAATGTAATTACCAATGAGTTGAAGTTTTTGTTTAGGAATAGATTCACTATTTGATAGATATCGATCTAAATAATCCATTGCCAAATAATAAGTTTCTCTATGCAACTTATAAACAGATGATACCTAAGGAATATACTTAAATAAATAAACAAAAAAAAAGGTCTATAAAAATATCTTGCAGTTAAATACCTCAATTAGCCAATCTAAAAGAATAGCTCTCATACGAGGTGTAATATGTTCATGGTATTCTTGGTAATCAGGATTTCTGTAGGTTAATGTAGCAGAATCCCTATTACATATCATTTGCCAAAAAGCTGCACGTTTTCCCCATGGAAGTTCTGGCAATGGACAAGGTCTTTCGTTCAATGCAATAGGTTTTTGATTAATGGCTAAATCACGAAATCTAATAGAAAAGTAATAAAATACATTTTATAAATAAGGACACTCTTTAAATATTTATTTTAACTTACTTGCTCCAAGTAGAAACTACTGCATTTACAGCAGTTTCATGAATATTTGAATAACGTGGAGTTGGAACATATGTGGGTGGATCATTTTCAATATTTTTCTTTGGTTCAGAACTATCAATGCAATCTGGGCTTTGTTCATTGTCAGATAGTAATGGGGCTGGTTCACTAAGAGCAGGACTACTGATATCAGATTCAGACCTAGGTATACTTCAAAATTAGAAAAAATATTTTTAAATAATAAATAAATGTTAATATACCTATCGTCTGAAAAATTTGAATGGGATTCAGGCGACAGTACTTGTAACTCAGATAATGGACGTCGTTCTACACTTCCATTATTACCAGCAGTCAGTTGCTGGAAGGAATCACTATTTTCTGAGTTAACTTCAAAAGAATCTGAGTCAGTTCTAACTCTCGAATTTCTTTGTAAATTCATAAAATAGTTATGTTCAGAATCATCCGAAGGCGATGACTGTGTTGAACTATGTAATTTAGATCTAGATAAAATATTTGGAAGGTCAACAGGACTATGATCCACTTTTATCCTCTTGCCAGTTATAGAACCATTGTATAAATAACCTTCAGAATTCTGAAAAATATCAATAGTAAATCATTCAAATTTATAACTAAAATTGCAAGGAACTATTGCATATTTTTAAACTTTTTTTTTGGTCTTTATTTTTAATTACTTAAACCATCAAGTATTATATTAGGAATTATATAATCATGGATTATAATAACAGACACAAGATACCAGCATCATCGATGGTTGTTTTACCATTGATCAAACATGTATATAATCAAATTTGTTATTAGTTACTATTAGTAATAAATTGTAACAACATTAATAAGTATTAATTTAATAACATATTGCACCTATTATAATTCTATAATTATTATTTAATAACTTGGGAATTTAAAATACTTCATTAGTCAGAAAAATATTATTATGATTTCATCCAATATTAAAATGTCTTATGCTTACATTATATAATTTACATAATTTTTTTTAAAGGAGATAATTTAAGTTGAAAATATCCTTACATGTCTTTTTCTTTTAAAAGCTTCATCATTGCTAGATGAATTAGCGTCATTCATTGTCGTTGAGTACGGAAAATTCAATGAATAAATCTGAAAATAAAAATATTAAATGGATAAATAAAAAATAGGTATAATGATAATACCAGCTTTGAATAAATATATATTTAATAAATTAACATTATTAAATTTCTATATGAATCAAAAATAACTTGTCAAAAAATTGATTTATAATAAATAATTTATAAAATAAAAATGTTTAACCTTATGATGTATAATAATTTAAAAAAATAATTATCTATAGAACAATATTATAACACTTAAAAAATAATCAAGGTTTCTTAATAAAGTATTTAAGAACAAACTAATATTAATATGAAGCTTAAGAATTTAATCTAATTAATGCTGTAAAAAAAAAATAAAAAAAATATTGAATTAGGTATACCTAATGTAATATTTTCAACAGCCTTCTATAATGATTGACATCAAGTAGGTACAAACACAGTTTAAGGAATTAAAGTCAACCTCTTATAAACGTATGCTTAATCTAGTATATGAATATAATTAATCAGAAAATTCGGGTAATCAGATCATGAGAATTTTTATTTTTTCAAAAATATTTAAAACCGCAAATAAAAGAATATAAGTGGAGGTTATGAGAGACACGTGAAGACAAGTAGGTAATTGAAGAGATCGAGAAGCCCGGAACTCAAATGAAAAACTAATGTGAAAAAAAGGTGACGCGTGGATAGTCAAATCCAACAAACAACATTGGGCGGGCTTTTGATCGCGGGCGGCGGGAAACAAGCGCCGCAGTACATGGAGGACGCGAGGAAACGGGCGCCAAATGCGTTTTCCCTATTGTCCACCGTCAACCGCGCGCGCTTGCTCTCCTACAAGGGGGCCTCCTCCGGCAGAGGTCACTGAATTTTACTACATGCCTACTTATAATACGTACATGGGTACAAGTATATACAAAGCATTATTTTTCAAGAATGCGTACGCGTACGATGTGTGATTAAATGTTTTTTTTTTTTTAGCACGCGATACACACGAGATGACACGACGCCAATAATTTAACACGTAAGCGTACAATATGGGTGCATTTCGATCATTAATAGAAGTGAACGCAATTGCGTTATAGTCGTCAAGAAACGACTCGTGGCGGAGGATTTCGCATGAGTTAATGGCAAGTGCGCATTTTCAACGAGGAACGTAAGAAAATTTAAAAACAAAAGAAAAAACGAGTCGAAGGAAAATATAATCTTAAAAAGCGGTTATTGAAATATTGACTCGTGGTTTGACTTACGTGTGTCGTGCGGATCGCGGAACGGCGGCAAGTCTCCGTACGCACACGCAGGGACGGAAACCGCGAAACTCGACAACGATACGAGCACACACGATTCGCAAACGTACAGTATTATATTTTTTCGGTTTTCTTATAACGTCAAAAATAATATGAATAAGTTTATAGGCGCACTGGAATATTATAATATATATCCGCGTGATTTTTTAAAATGCGTGACTAAAATGAAAAAAAAAAAAAAAAATCAACTCGTCGAACGCGATCGTTCACACTCGGAGATTGAGAGGAAATTTGCTAACGGTCGACGTCCAAGGGTTCACGGTTAACGAGCGACTGCTCGGGTCGGCAATGAGACAATGATCCCGATGGGGCCGCCGTCGCCGGAGCCAACAGACGGAACCGGTTTCCGGACGGAGGGGCGCGAGGAACGTTGGAATGCTGGCCCCCTTTGCGCGCGCGCGGTCGCTTTGTTGACAATACGGATCAGCTGATCGACCGGCAACAGCTGACCGTCTAGCGCCGTCGTCTACCGCGGTACATCCCGCCTAAAAACAACAAACGACCGCCCGCCTTGCCATCCACCAACCGACTATCGTTTGCCGCCAAAACAAAGCTCCGCGTCAGTGTTTATCAGTAACACACCACACAACGCGCGCGCGCGTTTGGCTCGCCACAAGCACAATGATACACCAACACTGCGTGGGTATCTATCACACACGTACACGGTCATTATTGAGATTATTATAATTTTTTTTTTCTTTCGATGATTTCCGTTCACACACGAGATGTAGGTGATATTATAATACATTTTTTTTAAAACGATTCTGTAAACCATTATTACTGTTATAACATGTAACGATATTATTATGATTTTTTTTCCTATCCGCGGACCGTGCGTGTTTGAACGAACACTGTTGCTCGTTCACCATAATAATATTTTGAATACGGTATGTGCCGTACGACAAAACAACACCAGCATACATGAATGTTATGTTTTAAGGTGTGTAATCGATTGAATTCTACGAAAATCCTAAATGTAAAAACACATTTTAAGAATGTACAACGTGACAACAAGGTGCGCGTGGTTTTGTGACTCGTCAAAATTGAAATAATGATGAGCAAATTAAACCGCAGATAAGCACGGTATTACATATAAAATACCACGTCACAGCTATAAATACCTGATAAAATGTACGAACCAATTGATAATATAATCGTAGATTGTTTTAATGCAAACACATCAACATTATTCGTCATAATCTCGAGATGTGATTGTGCAGTTATTTAATTTACTCAGTGATCATGTATACAGGAGCAAAGCTCTTTTAAAACTATCTACCAAAAAAATTGTCGACCCCTCACACGTACTACACCTATCGACCATACTTAACACATGACAAAATGAAAATAATGTTTACATCAAAAATCTAAATTTCGAATTATATGAATAAAAAAAAAATTTTAAGTGAAAATACATAAAACGTCTTATTAGTATATATTAATGAAATATGAAGTAAAATTCAGGACAGATATTTACAAAAGCGTAAAATTTTTAAAGCTCGCACTGTTCGTAGAGAATAGAAAATATTGCATGTTTTTTTTTTTTTTTTGGTGAGAGTGCGTTTACGTGTGTGTTTGGAACAGAGTTTTTGGAGGGATTCTTTATTATTCTGTTCAGGTACAAACGCATACCTATCGGCTATAATATTATAATATATTATGGTGACCATGTAAGTACATACAAAACACACAAGTTATCAATGAAATCCGAGGAAAAAAATATATTTACTGGCGACTTATTTGGAATGCCCAGGTATTTCTTCTAAAGGTTATCATGAATTAAAACCTAGCGTTGGTCGTTAAACATTACTTGGAAGATACTATACTCACCAAGTCATTATATGTTTATATCCAAAAATAATAAAGTAATTTAATGTTTGTACATGGCTTCAGAGCAAAAATCATTACTCATTCTTACTCATCAAAAGTAATTGTCTTTAGTTTATTACTTGATAAAAATAATTTAAATAAAGAATATATTGAAACTTATGAAATTACAGTTGCGATTATTATTGTAAAATGTAATATGTTATATATTATTATTGATAAATATTGATTTGGTTAACATAAGTCGTATCAGTAAATCATCGTTACGACTCTACATACAAACGTATCACAATAAACTTTTAACTCGAAAATAATATGTGTAAAATATTGCTATTGTATAAAATACACAAATCATCGACCAAATGTTAATTCGAAACTGATTGTTTTCATGGTAATTGGTTTTGAATAATGATGTCCACCAACACTTATCATCGGTTATTTCCAAACAAATTTTCATAACGCACAAGACTCCCCAGTGAGAATATGTAAGCAAAAATTATTAGAAACCAGAGAATGCCATATAAGAATCGATAGGTAACATTTTTGAATCACCTGTTACAGGATGTTTTTTTCTTCTACCACAATATATGAAAACCCGTTGGAGTGGGAAGCGTTCAAAATGTATGTACAAGACGGCAGCTACCAGCAGCATTCCATTTTCAATGTTGTGGTTGGCGCCAATTGGTCTTTGTAGCACAAAAGGGATTATTATTACAAGGCCGACGTGGTCCAGGAACCGTATAATGTACGGGTCTTTTGGCGGCTATACGGAGTGCCTCTTTTTGTCCTTACAGAATAAGAAAGGCAGTATAATATGTCGTCCGGTCCTATATACGGGATATATTGGCGCGAACGCATTATTACATCCTTACTGTTCATACGACTATAACATATTATAATGTAATCGTATCTAATTATTATTGCATGTCTAAGTGACCAAAAGGACGTCCGTTCAGGAGTTATTGTACCATAACATAAATTAGGATGTCTTTGAGCCACTAATATGAAAAAAAATAACATCATATTGCAGTGAGCAATACCAGGTGTTGGAACAACTTGACCGTGGAACAAATTCAAAATTTCTACAATAATGAACTGTATATTATTTTAAATGAAACTAAACGGGATGAAATATTGATTAAAATTAAAAATTATAACAAGAGTTAATATTAACGAGTTAAAAATATTCAAGGATGTTTTTTTATAAATAATTATATCTTTGAATGAAATGTCAATTATATTATAACAGCCAAGTATATAGTTTCAATGCCATTCGATCATTCAACTATAGCAGTATCGAAGTCGTATAAAAAGTTATATAAGGGTAACGACGCCACGTTAATACTTAATGCGTAGGTAACACTGTTTACATTGAAAATATAATATCTTTCAATAAAATGATGAAAATATGGGTATGGTCAAATTGCACTTAGGTAAAAAACAGGTAGTGGTCGAACTGCATTTGGACTCAAAAAATTATTTCAATAAAATTATCATGCATTTGAAGGGGTTAGATTTATTTTATTTAGTTACATTTATTACCACCATTTAGTAATCATTAGCGTGGTTAAAAATTATTGTTTTATACATTACATTATATTATATTATATATATTATTATTATTAGGTATACATTTTTTTTTAATCGTCAAATTTAATTATTGTCATTATTATAATTTTTTTTTGACATTTCGATCATTTTTTGTAGTAATAACTGTATTCAAAAATTCTACCCTGGTAATACGCTTCTGAGTATATATGTTACTATTATATATAATATTATCTACGTTATCTAAATGGCACGAACTAATGCTATTAAATAAGTACGCTGTAGCGTTCTTCAACAGAAAGATTCGTAATATTTTTAGAGGGTTTTCCATTATAACTCTTTTGGAACGAGTGCAATTCGACTATGCCGGAAAATATATGTACATTTATAATTTAATATTCATTTGGACACAGTTTATAGATGTACATGCATAAATTGTTCACTGCCGAACGATGGTTAGTTCTCTCACATGGTCTTTAGAGGTAAATATACTACAACGAACACATGTTATATCCAAAAACCGCCAAAGATTCGCGTGACTTAGCATCGTGGGAGATATAAGCCTCAGGTTCTGTTCAGGAAAGTGTTTTAGACAACTACAGAATTTAAAATTAAAATAATTTTTCCATTAATTACAATTACAAATATTTTTAAATTCAAATTCAATAGAATAGATTTTAAGATCGATAAAATCTTCAAAGTTATAAAATTACGGTTAAATATTTTTTAAACTAGCTAATAAAAAGTACTTTTTATATTTACAAATCAATAAATTTAACACCTAAAAAAAATAGTGGTCACCCATCCGAGTACTAGTAATAGAAGTTGTGACTTAACAAAAGCTGACGAACGATCGCCGCCTTGTCATAATACATTATACATATAATAAATGATTTTCGTTAAATAGATGAATCCGAAAAATAAGGAGAAAATCACTTTACAATGGAATGTGAATATACTAAATCACTTATATATTAGATATTTTTGGTATAGTTAAATACATCTTCAAAGGGTGTAAAATAACTCTAAAAAATAAATAATAATATATTAGTTACAATGCAATAACATAAATATAGTGTAATGACTAACAAAAACTAAATATTTTTACATACATTAATGTTTGTTGAAAACTCAAACGGACACAATGGTGATGGCAGATAAGTTTTATTTTTACTGTCACGTCATCCATCAACGGAAGGTCAGCAAATAAGGTCGAACTTATAAATGGGGCCCTCAATTTTTTTGCTAAACAAATTACATACGAAAAACATTAAACGTGTTAACTATGTGTGCCACATAAATAAGACATTGGTTTTC